ACGTTGTATGTCAGTAATTGATCATTACATTACTTCGAAAAATTGGAACACTTTAAGCAGGAAACCGTCCTGTAATGACCGGTTATCGCTGCTGACTCAGCTGTGCAGACAGAGAAATAGGCTAGAACTCTCGTAGAGAGCTGTTTGAATTATACATCATTATGCATATTTTCCACATTCTTGGGAAGAAGAAAAAAAAATCTCAGCGGCTCAACTTTTCGGTTTCTCCGTCTCCTTTTAAAAAAAAAAAACGAAAAAAAAAAACACCTGAGCTCGGTTTGGGTGCCGCAAAATGAAGCGAAAGGAAGCCGCGTTCTTCCCAGCACCATGGACAGCACCCAGCGCGCCCCCTTCCCGCTCCCCTCAGCCAGAACCCCGAAGTTCCAGCCCTCGCCTGATTCCTCTCTCCGATCACCCCCTCACCATAGGAAACTGGCTCAAAATCTTACGATCTGAGCCCAAAGCGACAATGGGTTTAAAAAGTCTACAGTTTGTGGGTGGAGAGGCGTGCTTGCTCCGTGCCCGATGTTAACTAGAGTGCCCCCGAGTTGACACACCATTTGCCTGCTCCCCGAATTTGCATCCACTTTATCATGAAAGCAGCGCCGCTCTCAGTCGCTTGGGTAGAAGTCTTAGCCGCAACTTTGCCCAACTTTTCACCACCACCACCTCCGCGCTGGCCAGAGCTGGACTGGCTCACCGCTTTAAGAGCTGTCTGCTATGAGCTGCATCCTCCCTGGGTTGGTGACCTCAGCCACGAGAGACCTGTGGTCCGAGAGCTGTACGTCCAGACCCACTGGGCCCTCGGTCGCACGGCTCTGTCCGGGGCTGGAGCCGTCTCCCCGGGGTGCGCCCAGGTGCTGGCTCATTACCTCCCGGTAGCAGGTGGCTCTGCGCGCGCTGAAGAGCTTGCCAGAAACTTAGCTGACAGCGCTGAAGAGGGGGCGCGACTGGCTCAGGACCCACCACTACCACTGTTCCTACTTTCAGACCTCAAGTCCAAGATCCAGATTTCCACAGGTCTCCCTGTGTGGATCTCTGTTTTACCGTAGGGTTAAGCAAAGCACAATAAAGATCACTTTCCGCTGGAGTCTTTTCATTGCGTCATCTCCCTAGCAACATATAAGTCAGCACGCTTAAGACTAGTTTTTAAAGATTTCCAACTGCACCTTCCTTTACTGAAACTTGCCTCACTTCTTGGACTTTGAATGAAACCTCTTCCTTGCCTCCGGAGCCCTGTTCTAATCATCTACTCTCTTGAATCGACTTTGAGGAGGAAAGGATTCCATTCTGAGTAGGCAAGACAGCCAAAACCAAATTTCTATTAAAATATCGATTGTACAAAAATCGTTTCAAATCAGCTCGATCCAAACTTGATCAGAAAGGGCCAGGAAAGTGAAAAGGGGAAAGAATTTTGGTATCTTATGGTAGGGGGTTTCTTTCCTCTAAAACAGCCTCGATAAACTGATTACAAAACTGCCCTTGTATAGTACTGAATTACAGTACGTTTCAGGATAAAATGATCCTCTATTCGCCACAGTATGACAATGAAAATTTCCTGTGAATTCCTCAGTTTAGCGGTAATTCAGCTTCAAAACTCTATTGTTCGATCTTTAAGAGATCATACAAATATGAAATATTTCATAGGTTAACAATTTAGTCTGTTTTCTCACACAGCGCTGCTTGCACAAAATGTTTGCCCCCTTTATGGTATGCAAAGTCACTGCTGAGTTATCCCCAAAGATAATTTTTTTTTCTCATAGTTTGGTCAATTTTGTGGTCTCAAGAGTCGTTTTGTCCAAACTCTAAGACAAGTCCGTGCTACAAGAGAAACTCAGCCACGCTGGGAGCTATCTTAAACTAGCGGCATGACCCTGTGAAAACTAGGCAAAGGCTGCATGGCAGCTGAAGTGTGCAGGAGAGCAAAGGGGACCTGTTGAATAATCGTGACTCAGAGATTCGAATATTCTTGACCAGGATCCACCTCCCAGTGGTGAAATACCACTGAAATATCATAATGTTTGAATGTCTTTGGTTGGTGTATTTTCCCAGAGCTTATTCTATGAATTGAGCTGCCATCTTTGGGTAAATTCATTCTTACCTACTGAGGTTCAAGTTTCGGTAACAGGAAGGGAGTCAGGTGTGAAGGACATGGGGCTTTCCTCTGTTGCTTCGGGGGACTTGTGGTGATTTGGGGGAAGTACAGAGCAGTTACTGAACTCCTGGGTGCCTAACATTTGTTCCCTCAGTCTGGGTTTTTGGGAACCTCTTTCCTTGACTGGAGATTTTTCCTTATGACCTGGGGACAGAGTGGCTAAGATTCCTAGTTTATTAATCAGGAATTTCTTACTTTAAAAAAAAAAAGTGTATTCTTGACACAGTTTCAGAATGACTTTTCTGGGTTAGTCTAAGTAAATCAGAAACTCCCAGACCTGGGTGGATATTTCAGGACCACCTTTGCCAGAGAAAAACGTGGTGAAAAGTACGAGAAAACTCCTTTTAAGGAGACAAATCACAATCAAGACATCGAATGATAATGCTTAGGGCCCCCGAAAGGAGGTTCTCCGCTGATGTTTGCTCACCACCTGTATGTGTTCGATGCAACTTTAAACCATTTTACAGCATAGATGGCCACCCCATACACCTTATTCCAAACTTTTTCTTTAATTCCAATCCCACTCTTCTGGAGGGTTGCTTCTGTCCTATTTATTTGTTCTCCTTCAAAGTCATTTAAAATAAGCTTCCTGTCTCTTGTGCATTTGTCAATGTCAAATATACACTATTTAGTTAAAGAGAAGTGTGTATTTCACATGTTATAAAAGAACATATTTCTTTGTTTGGTTTCTTGGAAATCAGTAATCTCTTAAACACTTTCCAAGACCCCCTGAGGAGGAGAGCCATGTAAACAATAACTACCAAACTTCAACATGACAATATTAGCTAAAATCTGCAGGATGATCCTTCAAATTCAGGTAGGTAATAGGGAGTGACTTTCTATCCCGAGATAAGGGACCCAAGGTGTCTGATGCCAGGATCCATCTTCTGCAACTTGCCTAAGGAGCTAACCATCTTGGAGAATCTGGAGGTAATTCTAAACTAGTTTACAAGACATCTTAATAGCCAGACTGGTCATCAAATGACTGAGCTGGGAGATGGTTGTATGACCACAGGGAGGTTGCAAAATACACTTACCCCATTAAAAAAAAATCATGATTTCAGTCTCTCCTGACATAATTAAAGCTTTGGGTAACACTCTCTTATTTTGTCTCATGCTGTGAAAAAAAATCACCTGCATCTCTGATGAATAAAACTTTAAAGAAAGTTTCAAATACATCCAACAGTTTAATTTCTGCTTTTTAAAGTTGGTGTGTGTGTGAAGAAATAGAAAAGGCATTAAAGTAACTGAGTTACACATTAGCTATCTAGCAGCTTAACATTAGAGAATATACCTAGTTTTCAACTTACCCAACTTTTAAAACTATATGTGTTCCTGGAAAGTAATACCTGATTGGATTAAATTTGCCAGAGGTTATAAACTAAGCTCTCAAGAAGGTAATAAAATATATTAACTCTCTTGAGTAAGTGGTTGGGAGGGATTTATAAGCATTTGAGGATCCGGTGATCCACTGGAAGCACAGTTTACTCAATTTTGAATTTTCCTGATCAACTTTCAACCCTGAGAAAACGAGAGCCATTTGCCTAACTTAATCTGGAACGTATGTTTGCACCAGTAGCAGGTTTTTTGGTTTGTGGTTGGGGCTGATCAAGTTGTAAATTTTCCGCTTTAGGTTTTCAGCGCCAGCTAGTTTCAGCCTAACACCTAGAGAGAGGCTTTGCGGGGGTTCTCCACCAAATCGGCCATGGTTTGACAAAAGGTTTCCAAACCACCCAGCTCTGAGTGTTACCGATTTTCCTGAAAATGGGACATTTCTATACGAATTAGTTCTCTGAATCCAAAAGACAAGTAACAAGTTACATTCTCTTTTGTCAAAATGTTCATAAAATATCTACATGGAAGGTTTTTCCTCCCCCCTTTGCCTTCCTCACCTGCAACCTTTTCTTTAAGGGACACAAAACGGTTTGAGAGCAGTGAGTGCTGTGAAAGTGACATCTTCATTCGACAAAACAATATACAGGTCCTTTTGGCTCATCTTAATTTTTTTCCCATCAGAAACAGAACTGTTGGTATTCTGTTTCTTTGTGCTTCCACACAAAGGAGTTTTTTTAAAGTGTTTTGAATATCTGAGAAGAATCACCCCGTGATTAAAATAAATATACGTTAGAATCCACAAATCACCCTTCACAAGCTTTATGGTAGCTTTTATTACTAATATTGGAACACATTTCTTTATGGACCTGAAATTTAGCATTTGGTCTTTAAACAAGTGACAATACTTTAAAATCAATGCAAGGTATACCATAATGATAAATCAAAGTAATAAGTTTCCTAAGACTAGTTTGACTCATCTTGAAATGGAAATAGGTATTAGTGGTGGAGCGGGAGGTTAACTTTTGGTGGTAAACCTCAAGGGCTGTAACTAACTGTCTGGACCTGCTGATTTATCTTCTTCCTGAAAACCTCAATCAGATTACTGGAGGAAAAGTTACCCAAGTGCTTTTTGAAACGCATCAGAGCTGGTAATTGAGCCATAAATGTGCCCTAAATTCAGGTGCAGAGTTGCACTAAATTTTATTATTACACAGATGAAGGTGGGCAGCTCCCATCTGGGCGCTACCTTAATCAAAAAGTGACCCAGGGTGACAGAAACAAGGGCAGTGAGAGCTTTACCAGCACTGTGCTAATCAAATGCCCACAACTAGTTGAGAACAACGGTGCTAAAAAGCTGCTTTAATTCTGAAATGCAAAGTCCTGAGACGCCGAGCGCCATCTAGCAAGCAAAGTTAGAATCAAACTCAAGCAGAGAGCAGAGTAGCGAGGGAACTGGGAGGTGACGGGGGCTTCGAGATGCACTCGCTCCGACTTGCCCACCGGCCCTGTCTCACCTGAGCCCAGCGCGGCTCGCGGGCCTTCTGGTCTGCGCCCCGCCAGCCAGCTCAAACAGACTTAACTCCTGAGGTGAGACAGACCCTTTCTGCCTCAAGCGAAGGCTAAAGGACAGCTCCTCACAGGGTTGCCCATTGTCTTTAATTAGAACAAGCGGCCTTTCCGTTTCCACCATCCCCACCTCCAAAACCAGCGCGGCTGGCTGATTCTGCACCTTCCTCTCCAGATGGGGATAAAGATCACTGCCTGAAAGGCTCACCTTGGGCTGACACGACTCCCAGGGCTTCGGCGCAGAGGAAAGCACATCGCTGGGAAATCCTAGCAGGATTTGAGAAGTCATTCTGAGTTTACAAGGCTGCCTAGACGTCTCCTGACAGGCGATTCGAGCCATCTCTGAGTGGCATGAGACACAGATTTCCTTAACAAGGCACGGCTGGTCATGGAAACTGGATGCTGCCTTCAAAATATAAATAATATAACTTTATTCTTCTCCTGGCAACTAGGTCTTTGATATCTCCTTTGGCTGAAGCAAAGTCCAAAGGTGGCCAGCATGCTGCCAAATAGCCCTGTTAGTTTGTAGCTTGAGGGGGTAAAACAGCACTTTCCCCATCTTTAAGGTTTGAAAGATGTTACCTAATTATATGAATATTCTGTGGAACTCAGCTAACAAAACACAGCTTCTGAGATTTGTGATGTGAAGAAAATCAAGAAAAAAAATGGCTGGTTTCTGGATAGGCAAAAATGCCATATTTTCCCTTTAAACTAAGTCGATCTGAATTAAAAAGACTAAGGGGTTCATCTCATGTCTGCTTTCTAAAGTACTTCTGATGGTTCTTTCCGGAATTTCATTTACAGATTGGTGATGGGGCAAATCCATGGACATACATGTTAGCCTTAAACTACTCCTAATTTCCTGCTATTGAATATTGTCTTTATAATAACTCATTGATTCACAGAATACAGAAGGCAGAGCTTGGGTTTTCTATTGTTCTGTCCCCTGCCCCCACCCCACACATACAAATTTTCCCAGTGAAGTGTTTTGTGGAAAAAAAAAAAAAAGCCTAACCAACCAACCAAACAAAAACCTTAGAAAATGAATATTAAAATATTCCAACTGAGTTTTAAATGCTACCCCAATCTCAGCTTTGCTTCTCAGTGAATAAAGGCATGGCATAACAGATATGAAATAGCAATTCTCTATTTTCTGCTAATCTATTTACTGTGCAAAACAACCACATTGAGAATCAAGGAACTGCTAGATAAGAATATAGTCAAAATGTTCATTAAAACATCTCCACAGGTTATAGTATTTACAGAAAGAAAAATCCCCTAAAATCATAACCCATTTAACAAACATAAGCCAGTAAGGAGCTTAAGCGACAATTTACAAAACATCTAAAATGTTTCTATGAAACCTCCTTGTCCCCTTATGTCTCAAAACACATGTAAAGATCTGAAGATGGAAATTGTAGGTACAATTCACACTGCCTCCTCTTCCCTTCTTCCTCTGTGAAGTTCAGAGAAGTTCCCAGACCAGTCTTGCCTCAGATCACAATAAAATTTTAACTTTTTTTTTTTGTTATTGGTGTCTAGTTAAATAGCACATTTCTCCCATCAAGGTCTTCTTAAACACGGAAGCTTCTCCTAGACAGGGTACCCAGCTGTTTAATTTAACATTGATTTATTGCTTTTAAAAGTAAATTTACACACATGCCAGGAGCGCTCCGTTTTGTTTCCCCAGACCCTGAGATTTATTTTCTACTTAGCGCTTGTCTGACAAAACAATGTCCTTTAACTTTATTACACATCGATGAGGAAATCTGTCTTATTTTTGTTCAGATTTACTGCTGGGTTGCTTGTGGGGACTTCTGTGATCCAGAAAGGCCGAGGTCCAAAAAGAAATAGAAAATTAAACAGAGTTGATCACAAAATAATAGTCAAAACCTAGAATATGGCCCAGCATATTCTGACCTGCTGGGGGGTGAAGTGGGCTGAGGGATGAAGCTCCCTCCGTGAGCCCAGTCACTCAAAATGAAAAAAGAAAAATTATTCTAATGGGCACATAGCATTTGAAAGTTGAGTAGCCAAATCTGTGTTCTATCAGGTCTCCAAGTTCTTGGTTAAAATTTATTTGGAATTTGAGGGCAGGGAAGTGCGGTGTGCAGGCTTCCCACCCCACAGCCGCCTTACCTCCCTGCAGAACTTCCAATTATCACATGTTTGTGATGGCTGAGCCCAAGGGAATTAAGATGGACTTTGAAGCATCTTTTACGGTACACTTCATCTACATTTGGGTTTTCTTTAGTTCTCATTAAAAGGGCCACTTTCTTCTTTTCATTGATATACTGTCTTTGTGTCCTTCATTTCACACTCTTTAAAAAAGTTCTCTCATCAGATCAAGTGCAAAAAGGAGGGATGACATAATAACCATCATAATCATGATAACAACAACAAACAACTGGTACTGTGGGTTTAAATCTTTTTTTTTTAAAGAAGGTTTTTCTCCTCTCTAAGGCATGGTCCGTCAACAACACTGGGAAAAAAAAAAAGCTGAGGTTGAGAATGGACATAATAAGCCTGTTTCTAAGGTTAAGTTGGAAATCCAGACAAGCTGCAAAACTCGGCGCGTGTGTGATGGTGAGCTTTACTTCTCCAGTCTGATTTCTCAGAGGCATCCAACACCTTCGAAGTGTTCAAATCAGGACACACTCCTTTCTAGTAAGAAGTAAGCTTGTGATGGGTTTTGTTATGGGATGAGGGAAAACTTTCTTACCCTCACAAACACCTCATCCTTAAAGACTTCTGTCCGAGAGCTTGACTTACCCACTCTGGTCAGTGAGTCCACAAAAACATGTTAAAATATTTCAATAATTTTTTACCAACCCCAGAAGATTTTTTTTTTTAAGTTAATGGATCATTTTTTTTCCTCCTGAAACACAGTGAGACACGTTGGCACGCGCACTTCCTACCTTAAAAAGAAAGAAAAAGGCAAGGACAAGACAAGGAAGAGAGATCTCTGTCTTTAAAGGAGGGGAAAGGCGGGGGGGAAGGAACTCTACGAAACCTTGAAAATTCTCGTCTTCTTATTAGGAGCCTCTCCCCAACCCCCCTGGCCGTTCTGCTCTTTGAAAAGGAGTCCTGTCACTCAGAAAGGAGCTGTGCTTCCAACCTCCTCCCCATCCACCCACCCAGCCGGCCCCCTCAGCCTCGCCGCCTGGCCCCGGCCCACCCCGCGGCCCTCCCCGCGCGCGCACACGCGCACACACACGCACGCACACACACACTCACACACACACGAGTTTCTTCCAAGTGCTTTTTCAAGTAAGAGCTGGAGAGATGAGAGGTGCGGCTTCTCCAACGCGGAGCCAGACAAGTACTTCTCAGCCCGCGGAGCGCGGCCCGGCGCGAGGCCTGGCGCGCCTTGCACGTCCCGAAGCCCCCGGGCAGCCCGGGCACCCCGGGCCGACCGGCCCTCCCGGCGGCACTCCGGCCGCTCACGCGCCCGCGCCCCGCGAGCCCTTTGTTCGGCCTGGGTACCCACGCGCGGCCGCTGCGGGAAGGATGCTCGGGGTGGGGTGGGGAGGTGACCGCGGGGCCGGCCCCAGGCCGAAGCCCCAGGCGCCGGACAGATCAAGATTCCTGGCACTTTGGGGCCCGCGGACCGGGGCCACCCCCCAGGTTTCAAGCCCGAGGCACAAAGCGGGGGTGAGGGGCCCGGGGCGGGCGCGCTGCGCACAGGGGTGTAACCACTGCGCTGACTTCCCTCCTCCTCCTCATTCCGCCTCACCAGTTTCTCGTCTTTTTTCTCCCCCCCCCTTCTCTTACCCTCTGCCACGCTCAGAGGCTCAGTGGGTGGGAGTGTGTGTGTGTGTAAATGTATGTGTCTGTGCAGTTAGGTGGAAATTTCATAAGAATATGCCCCACACTTATAAACTTGCCAGGATGGGGGAGTATGCTCCCGAGCGGTGGGAGAGTTTAAGCGACTTATTTGGGAGGAAATAGGGGGTCAGATTTGGTCTAAGTGGAACATCTGCAAAACATTCAAGCAGCTTATTCAACAAAGAATCTAGCCATTTATTGTAGAAATAATAAAAAGCCACTAATGATTATGGTTCCCACCCCTTCCCCCAAAAGGCCAAACCCTAATGAAATAATTCAAAGGTAGGCCTCATTTCCTAATAGTGGAATTAAACAACAACAAAAAAGAGCCCAGCTAAACTTTCCAGCTCTGCCTTCTTAAGGGCCTGGGAACCTTGCTGAGAAATTAGGTAAATAAAAGGCGAGTTGGAATTTCTGTTGAGTTCAGGCTGCAGTGCCCCGACTTGCCGACTTGCCGTAGTTCTGCCTTGATACACAATGACAAATTCCTCTTTAAATAATAAAATGTGAAAGACTCTTCAGGATGCGAAGATGTCTGGGGTTAAGCAGCTTTTTAAACCATCAGTTTTAAAATGCCTTGTGCAATGAATACACTACCTTTAAATCCGAAAACCATTATAAATATGCTATACATCTGTCTGCCAGTTTCTCTCTCCATATTTCTTTTTAAAATGAGGAACGCATTCATAAAAAGCTACTTGGCACACTTTATTTTAGGAAAGCAGATGTTAATTTTTTCACGTATCATTTTATGACCAAGTACATGTGTAACGTTGGAAAGCATCCAGAACGCCTCTATTATTTGCTAAATGACTATGAGTTGAGGCATATTATTCTCAGCCTAACCATGGTATAGGTTATATCAATAAAGTAAACATCTGTGATTTTTTTTTTTCTTCTTTAAACCAGGGGATAGGGGGGTATATAGAGTTACTATAAACGAGGGAGAGAGAAAAATAAGAGTTTGACTAGGAAGCGCACACCTGCGTGCTAGCAAATAGGATATTTATATTGTTCGCTGCAAAACAAAGTCCACAGTCGGGCACTCGGGGATATTTACATGACGGGAGATAAAGTTGAAAGCCTTTCCCGGCGTGCCAAATGGGATTCTCCCTGTGGCCTTCTGCGTGGCAGGATAACAGGTACTGAGCGCTCCCGGCGGCGGGCCTCCGCGCCGCCTCCCTCCCCGCCAGCCGGCCGGGCCCAGCCCGAGTCGAGCCGGGCGCTCGGGCTCTAGGAATTCCCAGGCTCTGCGGCAATTTCCGCGGGGTTCCCAGCCTAGAAATCTGCTCAGGAAGCGTCCTCATTTGCCCTGCGTCGCTCGAGGACGCCGGCGCCCGGGATCAGCCAGTGGCGTGATAATTAATGGAATACAATATTTATGGTCGGATGTATTGACTCGGAGGCAAGCGCGCCGTGTAGACAGTCCGTGGGGGTCTGACAAACAGGGGGGTGAGTGAA